GGGGGGGAGGGGGAATTATTGAAAAAACAGGCCGCGGACTGGGCCTCATCGGCCGCGGCCGTGGCCAAGAATCTCGGCCGCAGCGGCCGAAATGCCCGCGGCCTAGGCCGTGGGTGTCACATAGCCCGCGGCTTCATGTAGCCTTAGGATTGGGCCCCGACGTAAGCCCTGAAGTACGGACCTTGACAAACTTGGGTAGATGGGGTCCGTTTGAATTTTTTTGGTCTTTAAGTGCATAGTAGTGCATACATCTTTCGGCATGTCCTTGTCCATTTTCAATTTAGTTTCCCACGGCTGATTAGCGTCCAAGCGGAAATATTCAAAGAAGCTGCTATAATTTCGGTTGTCATTATTCTTAGTTTATGGTGCAAAGCATGCGCTCTATCGAAGGGCTTGGTGTCCCGGTCCTCCGCGATGTACCAGATACACCCTGCTCGCGGTCTTTGCTCGCGACCTGTTCCTGGACCGGTCTTAGTCGGCGCCCTCACTAGCAAAAGGGTGGGGGTGCGCTACTAGCCTTTCCTTTGGTCCACACGGGCTCGACGCCCTGCTGTACGGCAGAGCGCAACCAGCCTGTGCTCGTGGTAGCCACCGGGCTTGGCCAGGGACGTAAAAGTAGTATTGTCGGCGCTGTCTTGTGTACTGTGCCGAGCGCAAGCAAGTCGACTTATGGGATGTGTGCGGATACAATGGTCACAATCAGACTAAAATAGGAAAAGGAAAAAGATGGAAAGAAAAAGAGATCAAAGGAATAGGGGAAATGGGAACGGCACACGGAATCCTGGCCGTGGATTTAGTTTTGATACCTCTAACGATCAGAAATATGCACGCTGCAATTCACTTTTCCATATTGCATGCCTTTCTATAATTTTGTCTTTTTAGTTTTAGTCCCCCTCTTATGATTCCGCAGAGGAACGAAGGGTTCATTTTTTATTTAAATCTGCGTAGCACGACGAACGGTTCGAGAACACGTTCTCGCGAATGTGTTTTTGAGGCCGGCGAACGAGGTTCGTCTGGGCCGGTACCGGTCGCCCACAAGGCTTTGGAGGGACCTGGGGGAGCGTCGGTGGTTGTGTTGGGGTGGGGGCGGGCGCGAGAATCCGGTCCACTTCGAGGGGGGGGCGGGGAAGGGTCGTTTTCGAATTTGAAACTGCCTCCTCGTCAAGTCCGGTCATCATCGCGTGACTGCCACATCTGCACGAGCAACCTTTTTCTCTCGTTTTTTTCTTAATCTTCTTCTTCTTCTTTTTCTTCATATTTTCTTCTTCTTTTTCTTCATATCTTCTTCTTCTTTTTCTTCTGCTTCGTCGTCGTCGTCGTCATGATCGTATTTTCTTCTTCTTCTTCTTCTTTTTCTTCTCCTCCATCTCCTCCTCCATCTCCTCCTCCTCCATCTCCTCCTTTCTTCGTCTTGTTCTCCTCTTCTCCTCCCCCTCCTCCCCCTCCTCCCCTTCCTCCATCTCCTCCTCCTCCCCAAGTTCTGCCGTGTCGTGTGGCTGTCACGTCAGCACGCGCGACATTTTTTCTCCCGCTTTTTTTTAAATTGTCTTCTTCTTCTTCTTCTTCTTCTTCTTCTTCTTCTTCTTCTTCTTCTTCTTCTTCTTCTTCTTCTTCTTCTTCTTCTTCTTCTGTCCTCCTCCTCATCCTCCGTCTCCCTATGGGGAGAGGGGGTTGGGGGTTGGGGTTTCGAATTGGGGTTCCGGAACCCTTGACTCTACCCCCTCGAACAGAAAATAGTTTAAAAAACAAAATTTCGGGGGGGTGGTTTTTGGTGTGTGAAAAAAAAAAAAAAAGACAAAAAATAGAAACAATAGAAAAAAATAGAAAAAAAATAAATATTGATTGATTGACTTTTTTGATTGATTGATTGATTGATTGATTGATTGATTGATTGGTTGATTGATTGTTTGATTGATTCGTGGGGGAGGGGTCCTCCCTCCCCTCCCCCCGGCACACACACACACACACACACACACACACACACACACACACACACACACACACACACACACGTGCGCGCGAATATTAAGACCCCTATAGTCGATACACATTCTAAGCTCTCCCTCCTTCTTGGGAACGAATAGAACAGGTGTTCCAAATGGAGATGAACTGGGCCTAATCCAACCCTTCTCGAGGAGCTCATATAACTGTTTGCGCAACTCCTCTAGCTCCCTTGGGGACATTCTGTAGATAGCTCCCTTAGGAGTCCTACTGCCAGGCTCCATCTCAATACGATGCTGGATAGGCCGTTGTACCACTCCTGTTGGCGGCTTAGCTAAGTCTGTATACTCCGCCAACAGCTTGGCAATAGCAAGATCTATATGTTTCTCTTCCGTAGGCTCATTAATAGGCGTAACATATGCTAGAAAAACATGTTATTCTCTAGGCAAAAGTACGTCTGGACTCCCTCTACATAATCCTCGACTCGCAAAGTGCGATTGTCTGCGAGGATACTGACTGTAGGGTCTTCTAACTTTTGGACCTTAAGATTTAACTTCAACTTCTGCAGCGCTTTCCTATTGATATAGTTGCGGGTGGCCCCACTGTCTATAAGGGCCCCTACTCTGCCTCTAAAGATCTCTACATCTATTAAGATGAGCTGTCCTTTCGCATCCTTCTTCATTTTGGCCCAGGCAGACATCCTCTCCTTCAACTCTTCTGTCACGCCTGTGAGGGAAATGCCTAGAGAGACTCTAACACAAGCAGTCTCTGGACAACTATCTAGGCACTGACCAGCAACCTCTGCCACAGATACATGTGGTTTGGGAGTTTCTGTGTGGTGTGTGCACTCTTCTCCACATGGTCTAGGGGTAAGGGCAGCTGCAACCCCTACCGGCGGTTGCCTTTTGCTGCCTGTGCAGCAAACCGGGCTTCTCTATACGTGGGGCAGTATTTTATAATATGCCCAGGATCACCGCAGTAAATGCACTGATCCTGGTATATGCGACGTTGCCAAACTGTCTGTTCTAAGCCCAAATCTTCCCAAGGCCTGCCCTACGGCAAGCCAGGGTGCCATCCACCCCTCCTGTAAGGTGATTGATTAAAACTAGAGCGGTTTTGCTGGGGACCTTGACCCCTACCTCCCGCTTGACGGCCTCCACTGCCACCAAGCCCCTAATTGCCCTGTCCACAACCACCAGAGGTCCGGCCCCGTTGGCCCTGGCCTCTCCCTCTTCCTTGCGGCCTCCCTCCAGCCGCGACAACAACATAAATCCTCCCCTGACCCACACTACCACCATCCTTTTCGAGACCCCATTTTATTTGATCATATGGGACGTCTTCCATACCACCCTCATCTAACGTAAGGATCAGGTGATCCTTGCCCTTAACCTGACCAGAGATGGTACGACCTTTTCACTTTTGGCCCTTATCGAAGTCCTTATGCCAGAAAGTGGAAATAGACATGGACTGCACCTCGTACGCTACCACTTCCTTACTCAAGATATCGTAGGTCATGGTAGCCTCCATACTCTTCTGAAAGAAGTGCCCACGTAAAGGCTCAGGCATGGCACGGTAGAATAGGTTGACTAATTGGGTCTCAGTGACCCCATGATCAGGGACGGCGACTAACTCATCCATGACACCCTTGAGTTCCCTGGCACTCCTCCATTGGCGAGAATGAATGGTCTGCAGTTTGTCAGAAGCTCTAACGCTTCGTGGGACATCTGCAAACCTTTCATGTAATAATTTGAAGAACTCGTTGAGAGGGATGAACGCGAAATAGGCAACCATGTCGTTATTGCAATTAGCAGCGCGACAAAGCGACCTGGCGAAGCTTGCTGCTTCATCTTTAAGAGCATGAAAGGCTATGAGGACATGTTCGTCAGGATATATTTTTTGCAGATGCACGTAGGAGTTCAGATTGGTCTCCCAATTATCGAAGTTCTCCTCCTTCTTCCCACTGTAGGAATCGGGGAACTTCACCTTAACGGGCTCCCTACGGGGACAAACTTCCTCCTCTTTTGGTGCAGCCAACTTTGCGCCCTCTATGGCACCGGTATAGAATCGCTCTGTGCTTTTTAACCTCGTCTGCACTTCTGAGCCCACGTGCATGATTATTTCACGTGCAAAATCTCTGAACCCCAATCGAATTGATCGCAGGGCTATATCCTGACTCCTCCCAAATTGGTATTGCTCCTCCTGAGCCTGCGCCAGGCGTTCTATATTCCTCGCCATTACTTCCATCTTTCCCCGCCAATCCACATATGCCTCCATCTGCACCCTTAGTTGTTTCACCTCCTCCAGTTCTTTCGCCGCCTTACTCGCCCCCTCCATCCTTTTCTTCCTCTCCCTGGCCAGACGCAACTTCCACTCCAACTTTTTCTCCTCCTCTATCGTTTGCCGTTTGAGAGGATCTTCCTCGACTTCCAATTCCTTAACGACCACCTCTTGTTCTTCCCTGGGAACATATAACATTGCCTCCTCCTCTTCTCCCAGAGACAGATTAGCAACCCATTCAGAAACCTTCTTCTCCATCCAGGAATCCTCTTTCTCTGTGCCACTCGTCTCTCCTCTTTCCCTGATACTTCTTCTAATGAGGGGCACTTCTTCTTTCACCTTTTTCTCTTCTTCTTCTTCTTTTGCATCCACTGCTTTCAACTTTTCTTCCTCCTCCTTTTTCATCCTTTCCAATTCCTCCTCCAACTTCTTTCTTTTCTCGGCCTGCTCTTGCAACAAGGCCAACTTCTTGGTCTGCTTCACAACCTCCTTCTTCTCTTTCTTGGCCTTCTGCTCGGCCAAGATCCTCACAGCCTCCTCCTCCTGCTCCTTGGTGTAGGGAGTGGTACTAGCGCCACCCCTCGTCTCTACTCTACACGTCATTGTGTTCCAGAAGCCCAACGGAAAGAGGAGACACCAGAGGGTCCCCCAGAGGGAGAACCCCACGAGCAGACCGTACATAGGGTAGTCATCCATGGTGTTCGGTGCACAACAATAACTGTCCCACTCCTCACCACATCTACTTACCCACTGGACTGACTGACCGACTCTCTAAGGACCACAGAGTCTTACCCTTCGATCCAGCCAGGTTACCACGACCGACGGAAGCTTTCGCCACCACTGTCCTTTACATTCCAGACCCTGATGCCCAGAACCTGCGGTCAATCCCACCTGGTTTTCTCTCCGGTTCAGAACCCTGTCAACTATGGTCACTAGCCTAGACCTACTTCTAAGCTGTCACTACTGGACTTTAGCGCTGATCAGGAGGCATTTAAGGAGATCTCCCGTAACTCCTAAGGAATTCTTTAACGTCGCAAACAGGACGACGCGATCAGCAAGTCCTCTCAAGACTTAGACACCTCGTTGTACAGCCCACAACTCGGATTTTGGGCCTACTGTGCCACACTGAGCAGCCCGCCGGTCTGTACCGGTCCTTGGGAGGGTTCGTGTCCTCCGGGCTAGTCAATCGTCAGACACAGCCCTTAGCCCTACTCAGCCCGTGTGGGTTTGGTCAACAAAGCTCTATGACCTCATACACGGAGTTCCTATCACATAGACAGAAGAGACTCAATGCAGAAAGAAGAGACAGACAGACTCAGCAAGTACCATAGGGTGACTGCACATCCATAGGGCGAGGGGATAGGCTGAAGGCTTGGCGAGAATATACCGACTCCAGCTTGGTCAATTTCATGGTCAACAGCTCCGGTCAACGCCTTGGTCAACACTTGGTCAATGACCAAGTCAACCTCGGTCAACTCTTTGGTCAACGCCCAAGTCAACTTTAGTCAACCCTTTGGTCAATGCCTTGATCAACGGTCAACTCGGCTATGGCTGCCGACACTTTCTCTCTCTCCAACCCTCGCTTCTCTTCCCCCCTCCTTTCTTCTTCCTTGCTTCTTCTCTCTTAACCCCGGCTATGTCTTCTTTTTCATCCTTCGTCTCTCCCTCCTCCTTCATTCCTCTTCCTTCTTCTACCTCCGTGTCCGAGCTCCGCGGCTATGGCCACCTTCTTCCTTGGACCGCACAACAATCGTCTATCGCTCCTCTCTCTCTCTCTCTCTCTCTCTCTCTCTCTCTCTCTCTCTCTCTCTCTCNCTCTCTCTCTCTCTCTCTCTCTCTCTCTCTCTCTCTCTCTCTCTTCGTCGTTCTCTTCTTGGCAGGTACGCAGCACCCCACTTCAGTGGCGCAGCTATGGCGGACCTCCTCCTTCGATGGCGCAGCTTCAGCTATGGCGTCCAACTGTCAACAACGGCGATGGCGCGTGGAGTAACGGGAACCAGCGCCGATACCAATGCAATCAGACTCGCTCTCTTCTTCACTTCACATACATGCAAACAATGGCAACTCACAGTGGTGCATAGCCCCCACTCAAAGCTCATAGATATGGAAAACGAGAACACAGTTCAGATGCAAACTCGCTTCAACAGGCTATGGCGCATCAGCGCCTGTACATCCCAACTCTCGATACTCTGTCCAACACCACTGTTCGCACACACTCAACTCTGGACCACCCTGAATACCCCACACACATTCACTGTAGCACACACTCATACGCACGCACTAACTCCTAACACTAGTTATGGCGGCTATGGCCGCCGGCTACTACTGCCTATGGACACCCTGCCTCTCTTCAGCCCACTTTGACTTCGGGCAACCTGCAGACCACCTCGCACAAGACGCTTGGGCAGCGCTGCCGCATGGCTTACGCAGCGAATGAATGATGGGTGGACTATGGACGTGGGATCGGACATTCGAAAAAGAAGGTTTCCCCCACGCCTGTACAGGGGCCTCTACAGCCTGTACTGGGCCCTCTGATGTGGCTGACTAGACTGCATTTTCAAGGTGCACGGCACACCTTTTCTGCTTACCGGTGTTTCGAGTGCGTTTTAAACATCGGACCTGACTAGACTGCAGACAGCGAGTGCGCAATGCATTTTCGAACTCTAACCCTGAATGTGCCGTAGTTTTCTCTTGTTGGGGGGTTGCTTATTTCTACCGTGTTAGGAGCTGAGAGATGGTTAACAGGGGGCCAAACATTCGCCATTTTCGCCGGCAATATCGGTGCGAAATTCATCAAAAAATTAAAAAACAAACGATATGGGCCAATAGTGCAAACATCAAAAAACGAAACAGGCCACAGTTTCTGTGCAAAATTCACCGAAGATAACACCCCTGGTTAACCACATGTGTGTCCCTACCTACAATAGTGTACTACCTGAAGCCTAATAGGATTAAATCAAGACGAACAACATACAATTGAGGTCTTAAATAACTTATTGAACAAAAATTTTCACAGCCACACACTCCGTTGGGCTAAACGTTTGCAGAAATATATCGGTTCAAGCGCTCTTGGAAGATCTCACCTTGGCAATCGTCTTTGGAACTTCTTCTCGCGGGTCTGGTCTTTGGCCTCTACAATACCCTGGCCTTTCTTTAAAAAAAAAAAAAAGACCGATGATGAAGACACATGGAGGTAGGTAATTGGCTGAACCATAGATAGTAGGGGAGCCAGAACTACCCTGCTTCTTGGTATCTCACAGGAAGACATGTCGTATCCATTACATCGATGGTGATGGTGGAAACTCACAGAGCTCCAACTAGTGTCATTCAGTTGAACGTGCTGCCACTAGCACTTGGCTGCCAGCTGAATAAACACTGTTGTTCTGATAGTGCATCCTGGTGCATTACCGGTCCCCACCTTCTATCCTTTTCTAGTATTTTCTACCCCTTTTTCTCACTTCCTCTAGTCGTCTGTTTTATTGCAAACAAGCCTGATCCCGTGGATGGTGTGGAGGATATGGAGTGTTGATTTTTGAGTCTAGGGTGCTCCCTGATACCCTAGACTCCCATTTTTCACTCCTATCTCTTGCTCCCTTGCACTCCCATTCACTCCCTATCTCTTTAAATTAGTGTGTAGTCAAACCTTGGACATTATAAAATGTCATAGGTCGGACCTTTCCCTTGCCAAGTGAAATCCGACCTATGGCAAACTGCACTGCCAAGTGAAATCCGACCTATGACAAACTGCAAGGGATAGGCCCGCGCCAGTCCTTTTGTCCTTTCCCTTGCCAGGCCTCAAAACGCACTGCGCACCAGAAAAAAACAAACTGGCCCAGGGCTTCTTTTGGCAGGCGGCACCAGCCATTTTGCTCTGGTAGGCTGACTCTTGAAACTTGCGGCTGCATGCACACGGTGCCAAAGAAACATCGTTGGGAAACATACTGGTTGTTTAAGCTCTCACTGTACTCCCCCCCCTTCAAATTCATACCAAAAGTGGATTCAACCAAAATTTTGGGCAGATTGAACCCTCCCTTATTTTTGAGGGGGTGTACCTTGACTTTCTCAAAAAGAGAAGTTCTGGCCATTCACTTGCTTGATGCTCTAAATTACAACAACCGCCCCTCCTATCTAGTCCAAAACCAGAACTATATTTTTTCAGAGGACTGGTCATTTTTCTTGGCCAAGTTCATCCTTTTTGAGCTTGTTGGGATTTTTTTGCTGTCGTCTATCTAGTATCCACCTCAGATTCTATTCCGGTCTAGATTCTGGCCCGAGACTTGCCTGAGATTGGTTTTGGGGCAGTCGAAGTTCTGGATTACTCCAAGGAGAATCTGAAGAGTTCTGAAAGTCTGCTTTTTTAGGGGAGCCTGTTACTCTCAGACTGATCCTCGAGAGCATGCTAAACTTGCTAAGCGAATAGCAAGCTTCGATCCAACCAGTGGGCGCTGCGGATATGTCAGTGGCTTCCAAGTGGGGGATATGGGTTTTATTCCCGTTATCCAAAATTGCTTTTGATTTGACGAGTGCAAGGAACATGAATGTGGACGAAGCATAGAAATCCAAATTGCAAAATCACACTGAAGTCAAAGCAAGAGCAGATAGGACAATGGAACCAAGTAAGCATCCATTTGAGAACGATACAGCAGAATCGTGAGTCAATGTCCAAGCCCAAATTGGGCAACGCCAACAGCATAACCCAATGTAGCTCTCTCTCTTGAATGGCGCCAGGCGCCTATCTACTCCACAGCCTATCACTACGACTACAGCATGGAAGCAACCAGACAACTTGACGACCAGCGAGTGATGACGTCAACACCAATGCCGACCTCCTCTCCACCAGGTACGTCTCTCTCTTCACCCTCACTCTCCCTTGTTATCCCACACAGCGCCCTTCACCT